GGGGCCAGCGCGGATTCAAGCACGTCGCGCGGAGCGCCAACAGTTTATGCTTATGGTGTGTCTCTACTTCGGAATCGACCTGTTCGTTCCTGTCCTGCCGAAGCGCGACGCGTCCACGAGGCCTCCAGGGCACACCGTGCTGTTTTTGTCTTGAAGGGCGTGTTCGCCACCGGGCTTGCTCATGTCCAGGGCACGCAGGGAGCGGTGGGGCTTCCAGCGTGACCCAGTGGAGATTCGCTTCGATTCGGAAGCATTCGGGGCCAGTTCATCGGTCTTTCGCTGCAACGCGACAGAAGCCACGCCTCGAAATACGGAGAGGAGGTAACACAAGACGTAACTCCAATACGCGAAAGGGAAACTGCGCAGCACGGCACAGCATCCAATATTAAAAAAACTTGATCCTATGCGGAAAAGAAAGATCTCTCTCGACTTTGGGTCGTGGCCCTGCGGCGGCCGCATAGCCGCTAGGCCGCGGAAAACGACTTGGCGCGGATGTCGACGCGTCGACCCCGCTGGCACTAGCAGCACCTCAAGACTTGGATCCCTCCCCCCGCCCACGACGACGACGACCACTTCCGCCCCGACCACTCCCGCCCACGCCCTTCTCCCTCTTACTCAGAGTGACCCAAAAATTGCAGGCGCCCCTCTAGCCACAAGCTCTCGAAATCGAGCGCTCGTTGCAAAAGCGAGAGAAATGTTCGCACGCGCTCGGGCGCCGTCGCGATCTGCCTCTCTAGAGGCCCCTTCGGCGACGCTCCTACTAATTGCACTGCTTTGCACACCGCTAGCGCCGCGTCCATGAGTGAGTTCACTGCCCGTGCCTCTGAATGTGGGCCCAGTGCGAGAGTCAACTTCACATTGCCCTGCATTTTCTTGCTGTCTGGGCCCCTCAGGACGCCATGAACTGTGGCGTCTAGTCTTTGAGATACTTCTGGAAGATCGCGTTGGCCACCGCGTGAACCTGCTCCGATCCCTGGGCCGTCGCGGCTCGGACCGCGAGGGCGAGCGCTGTGATGAACGGCGGCCCTTGGCTGGTGAGATCCACAGATTCGCCCGCATCTTTGCGCTCGTGGATCTTCTTCACCGCGTCCGCGTAGAACTTATTGGCTGCCAGCCCGCACTTCGCCAGGTGCGACTCGTTCGGCGCGGGGGAGGTCGACGACGCGACGGGCGAGGGCAGCGCCTGCTCGCGAGCGATGACCAACGCCAGCGCCGCCACTTTGTGGAGAAGAGACCTTTCTTCTCTCTCCCTGCTGCCGTTTCCCTTCGCCTGCTTCGCCTGGGCCCCCGCGCCTTCGACTGCATCTCCTGCTGGCCGCTTTGGAGCGATGGCCACGCCGGCCTGGGCAGGGGGCCCCTCTTCGTCGAGCATAGCTGCGCCAGGACCGACTTGCAGGGGCGCGCTGCAGGTGGCTGACAGCGCGCCGATTGCATTCAGCCAGCCGCAGGATCGTTGAGACACAGATTCCCCGCTGGATGTTCTCAGGTACCATGAGCTCCGCCAGAGTGGGTGCTTTATTTCGTAGGCAACGCCCATGATGCTGGGCCCCTTCTAGACGTTCGCATGAACCTCTCGCCGAAGACCCCCCTGCACAGCGCGCGCAAATTCGCTGTAGCGATGGCATGCGATACGTTAACACTGCCATGTACAATACGGATGTGATTACCAAGGCCTTGTCTACAGCTGCACTTGGCTCCGCAGGGGCCCGGCAAGTCCTGCCACGTGCACTCGCGACCGCGTTCAGTTAAAAGGGCGCTAACTTCTGCCTCTTCGGGAGGCCCATCGAGGGGCTCCCAAGGATAGACACAACAGGGGGCAGAGCTTCGAAGTATTGTTACATCTATACGTTTAAATATTGCGAAGAACTCTGGTAAACAAACTTTCTCACTCGACGACGGAGCTCGCGCCATAAATCCTCGGCTTCCTCGGGGACAAGCACGAGCTGCTCAATGTCTTCGTGAACCCTCAAATCCCATGGGCTCGCATCAGGACGAACCGAACAAAACTCACCAAACAGGCCCTGGTCTGAAACATTGCCGAACCAGGCTCCGATCAGCTGCCCGTGAGACTCGGGATAGACCCGGATACTTTGAAACCGCATCAGTCGACGCACTCTTAGTTCAGCGCCCGCGAGGTATGATCTTCCTGTAGCCAAGCACCTGCGGGGAAGACAGACGACGAAAATGGCGCGCATCTTCCCTGCTCGCTGCACCTCTCCTGGCACGTCTGCAAAACCCAGCCACCGCCAACCCAAAATTGCGGAGCTGGCCAACACTTGGTATGAAACGCTTGACTGCACATAATGCAGAATTAACAACATGGCAAAGAAGCGCGCATCGATTCCAGCGATAGGGGATACTACTCATGAGCGAAAAACGCCCCCTGCGAAAATGAACCGTCTTCGCGGCTTGGATGCGTTTGCCGAGTTCAGATTGAGTGGCGGTCGGGCGAGGTCCTAGATATCTGGCTGGTTCTCCACGGCCACAAGCTCGGCTACGCAGCAAATTAGCGACGCCCCGCTCCGCCGAAGGCGGGGCCGAACAACTGGCCCCCTGCTTTTTGAAATTCGCCCGAGACCAATCCTCTCGAGCTCCTCGCCAAGCCGAACGTCATTGCGTCGAAGGGTGCTTTTGGCCATGTCCAGGGAAAGATGCGGTCCGAGTACAAGCTTCCTTTAAAAGATCATCGGCAAACTTCGTTAGCCCCAGATAGGCGCTCGTTGGGGCTATAACGTCGCACTCGGCCGTCAGTAGCTGTTCCAAGGGGCCCTCCTGTTGGCGCCTCGAAATCCAACGGTCGACCGGCGGGCGAAAGACGTGAACAAACAAGGCATCGGCGACTGGATCCCCGGGGGGCATGCCGCGGCTGGTTCGCAAGAGAAAGTCGACTTCCTCTGCGGGGATGGACGTGCCTGCAAGCGCGCATTGCTGCTGGCAGAAACGCATCTCCGATCCTCGAGCCACTCCCTAGAACAGCGTTGCCCACGGCTGGCCACGCTGGGGACGCGAACGCATCGCTTAAATCATTGGGCGAACCAAGCCAATATATGCGAGCCATGTTTAGACGCCGCGGAGTGCAAACATCAGTTGCCATGGCGTCTTCGCGCCTTCTCCTCCTCAGGAACCCATGACCCATCTGAGAATGGATGTATGGCGGGCCTCGTTTCATCGCGCGTTCCAGCAGTGACTTCCCGATCGGGCCCAGGCCGCGCGCCGCCCCGCGGCCCGCAGGGCCAGGGGGCGCACATTTCTGCAGAGCGAATCCTTGGCTACAGGATCACCAGCTTGGAAGGGGGCCCGTCTGGCGGGTCAGGAAAAAACTTGGAGGAGCCAGCCTCTAACCTTCTCGCTCCAGATCGGAGGTGGTTTCGAGCCGAGCCCGGCGCAACGACGAGGGCCGCCCTCTGGGTGCTCGCCAACCCAGACCGCGAACTCAACAGGCAACGACCACCGGGGGACCTTTGTTCTCTTAGAAGCTGTCTTTAGAAAGGCCCGGAAAAAAGAGAAGGTCGCCCATGGCGTCCTTATGCGACTGCGCCGCGCGCCCCCGTCGATGCGCAGGCGGAGCGGGTTGTCCTCGAAGTGCTTGCGATCCCTCCCAAGGGCCCCCCGCTCCAACCGAGTCGCAAACGCACCCCCCCACCCGCCCCCTCCTGGCTTGGACCAGGTCGCAAGCCATTCTTCCTGCTTCGGCAGCGCTGGAGTTTGGAAAAATCGCGCTTTTCGCTGCCATAGCGGCTCCCTGCAAGCCTCAGGCTCACCCCGTGCACGGCTGCGAGGTCGCGGCGCCGCCGGGCTTCATAAATTTCCTCCACCAAGGCCTCGTCCTTCATCTTGAACCACTGCTTGCGAGCCCTGGTACATGTCCTGGTGATCTCTTTGATCTTCTGGATGCAACTCTCGAGCTCGGCGGGGGGCACTCATGCAGTCTTCTCGCAGAGAACGCCGAAGCGCAAGAAGTCGGAGCCTCTCCGCCTTGTGAGGATCCGTGTCCGCGGGGGCATCTTTGGAAAACAACGGCTACCCTCTTCCCGAAGCACATCACCCAAGCGTTTCAAAATCGCCTCTGCAGAGACCATACTAACAGTAGCTTCCAGCTCGGCCAATCTAGCTTCCACTGTCGTCATATATTTATGTCGCTCATGAGATCTTCGAAGGACATGCATCAGTTTGTCCCCATCCCATGTCACCGATACGTGCTGGTTACCATTGGGGGCTGCCCATGCTGCCTGTGTTCTCGTGCCAAATTCCACGTTGATCCCCACTCTCACATGTACAGATATGTGATATCGCAATAGAGCGCCTGGACTATACTACAATCGACGACCCATGTACTTCAGAGTGCCTTGACACTTGCTTTGGGCTGCCAATGATCGCGGTCGAATAGCATGATCAATCATATTCGGCTTACCACGCGCATCATAAAAGTCGGTGGTGCTTCTCGCTGAGTAGCAATCGTAGTAAAGCCCATGATCCTCCATCAGTTCATGTACTCTGTGCCCAGCTCCCCATAGATGCTTCTCATGGGGAACTCCGTATCCACTTGTTTCCTCCTCAACATTGATCTATCGCCCACCATTCTTCATCAATCTAATCCCGTCATTAACACCAGCCATAACGAACACAATCGCTGCATAGGGAGCCTGTCGAATCACCATCGAGGCCCATTTGCTCAACTTCTCAGAGCACGATGGTCACTTTGGCACCGATTTGCGGTCAGAGGGCTCGGGCTGAATCTACAGCGCGAATGCATAAAAAAAAGAAATGCCTTTGAAGCGAAAGTATACTCGCAGACCACGTCCCTGTAACATCGCTGGCGGTGTGTCTACACGTCGGGTCGTCTTCTGTGGCAATCTCGGGGGCAAGAGGAATGTGCATCCTGCGCTTCGATTGCTGAACTTCGTAGCTCTCCATCCTGCAATCGCCGCAATCATATCTAATCTCTTCGACATTATGTATGGGGCATCGCCTTAGAACCTGTGCTCTGCAGTCCGATCAGGCCGAAGTTGGGAGCCTCTGCGCATATATCCTGCAGCCTAGCTTGTGCTCCATACAAGTAATTGAAAGAAATAATCGCTGTGGTGTACGTCACTATCTGCTGCTAGTCAGCAGCCACATGTAAGGAGAGCATGTGCCGATCAAGTGATTTCGCGGTCGCAAAGCAGGCTTACAGCCAGGGACCATAGAGGCGGCGCTTCCAAGTGGAGAGGAGGAAGAGGAGGAGGAGGAGGAGGAGGAGGAGGAGGCTGAGCACGACGAGCAGGCCTGTCTCCTGGATGAGCTGCTTCAGATAGCTGCGGGAATCCACCCACAAGAAACCAGGGGGCTTGGCGACACACGTGCCCGACTCCGTGTGTTTTCGGCTGGACAAGAGCATTGGGGCCGAGTCGAGAATACCTATACGACCATCCTTCGGGTGATAAGGAGGCCAGTGGGTGGGGGGAAGGACAAACTGACGACAACTGCGATGGCTGTGATGATGATGATGCTGCGCCGCGATGTGATCCCACTATCGATCCCACTCGATCGACATCACAACCGGGACACCACGATCGATCTCACTCCCAGTCTCACTCTATCGAATTCCATCTCGATCTCACGATGGATCTCACTATCGATCTCACTCGATCGACCTCAGTATGTGTAGATCTCACTATCGCTCCGATTGCCGATCGCACAACCGATCTGACGATCGGTTTCACTATCGATCTCATCATCGATCTCACCACGGGACACCAAAGAAAGTCGACGGGACATCGACGGGACACCCTCGGGACACTGACGGGACAACACGGGACACCATCGGGACACCATCGGGACACCAATCGATCTCACGTTCGATCTTACGATCGATCTCACCATCGGTCTTCCTATCGATCTCTCACTATCGATCTCACTACCGGCCTCACTATCGATCTCACTATCGATCTCACCACGGGACACCGCGGGGACCAACGGGACAACGACGGGGCATCAATGGGACAGCGACGGGACAGCGATGGGACAGCGACGGGACAGCCATGGGACAGCCACAGAACACTAACGGGACACCGACGGGACATCTCGGCGGGACAACCTGGCCACCGCCCACCGCGGGGGAGGAGGGGCGGTGAACGGCTCTTGACCCGCCCTTGCAACGACGGAGTCATTCCTCTCGCCCGCCCACGCAGCTTCGCCTCGCCCGCACGGACAAAACGAACCCGAACCCGAAACCGATTTCCTGGTGGGGGGCTCGCCGTTCCACTTCGATCTCACCCCCCAACCTCCGATACAAGGGGACGGGGGGCTTCCATCCTCGATAGGCGTGCGTCCGACTAGCCCCCAGGGGTGTTCCCTGGGGCTCCCCTTCTTTTCCAAGCCGCTAGCTTCTGAATGGAAGCTCGCGAATTGGGGAGCTGGAGGCCTCCCAATGGGATCCGAGCAGATGGGGTCGGAAGATCGCGCCACATCGCCGATAAGTCGCAAATGCATCGGTGATGCACTGGCGACTTCGCACATGCGTCGGCGACGTCGACGTGGAGAACATCGGACCCCACATCGAGCCGCATCGCCGACGCATCGGCGATGCGGCGCGATCTTCTGACACAGTCTGCTCGGACCCTGTGTGGGAGGCCCCTGGATGACTGGGGGCCAGGCCGAAGGTAAAGAGAAACCCCCCGCGAGGGTACCTGCACGACGCGGCGACGCCTGGAGCGCCCCCAGATGCGTCGCCGTGGCGCCCCCCCGCCCCCGAGGACTGCGGCGAGGCCGGGCCCGAGTACGGAGGGCGAGGATAGCCTGTCCTCCTCGTCCTCGCAGTCGTCCTCCTCCACGACCTCCTGTCGTAGTCGTCGTCGTCCTCATCCTCGTCGTCCTCCTCGTCCTTCTCCGCCTTCGCCTCGTCGTCCTCGTCCTCTTCGTCCTCCTCGTCGTCCTCCTCCTTCTCCTCGTTGTGCTCCTCCTCGTCGTCGTCCTCCTCCTCTTCCTCCTTGTCGTAGTCGTCGGTCGTCGTCGTCCTCCTCCTCCTCCTCCTCATCCTCCTCCTCCTCCTCGCAGTCGCCCCATGCCGAAGGAGGGCGGCTGACCTGGGGGGCAAACTGCGGTAGGCGCACGGTGCGCCTGTGAGGGGGCTTCGTCCCGGAGCCCCCGAGGAGCACCACCGAAGCGCCCCTCGGAGTCGGGCCCCCGTTCGGGCTCGGTTGAATTCGGCCCACCCTTGCATGCTGCTGCCTGGCCCTGCCTGGCAATCCCGTGGGGCGTTCTGGGGATCCTCTGCCAGCCCGTCCTGTGCTGTGTAGGATCCTCCTCTCCCTCCTCCTCCTCCTCCTCCTCGCAGTCGTCGTCGTCGTCGTCGTCGTCGTCGTCCTCCTCCTCCTCCTCCTCCTCCCTCCTCCTCCTCCATCCTCCTCCTCCTCCTCCTCCTCTCCTCCTCCTCCTCCTCCTCCTCCTCCTCCTCCTCCTCCTCCTCCTCCTCCTCCTCCTCCTCCTCTCTCCTCCTCCTCCTCCTCCTCCTCCTCCTCCTCCTCCTCCTCCTCCTCCTCCTCCCCCCTCCTCCTCCTCCTCCTCCTCCTCCTCCTCCTCCTCCTCCTCCTCCTTCTCCTCCTCCTCCTCCTCCTCCTCCTCCTCCTGCTCCTGCTCCGCCCCCTCCTCCTCGCAGTCGTCCTCCTCGTCGTAGTCCTCCTCCTCGCAGTCGTCCTCCTCGACGGAGTTCTCCTCCTCGCAGTCGTCCAGCTCTTCGCAGCCCTCTTCCTCGAGGTCCTCCAGCGCGTCGCAGCCCTCTCCTCGCGGTCGTCCTCCTCGTCGCAGCCCTTCCCCTCCTCCTGGCCAGCCTCGCCCTCATGCTCGTCGGCCGCCACCGCGGCCGGCCTCCGCGGGCGGCCGCGCGGAGGGAAACCAAGGGGGCAGCGGGGGCCCCCGGCGGGCCTGCTGGGCCTGCCGCAGCGGGATCGCCGGCACCACCTGCGGGGCTCTCGCCTCCCTCGCTGCCGCCGTCGTCACGAGAGGGGCCCCAGGCGCACGCAAACTGTTTACGTCGGCGGCGAGGCAGGGGTCGTCAGCGCTAGCGGAAAAAGCTAGAACGGGGATGCCGTTAGGTCGGGCATGTCCTCCTACAGGCGGATCTGGGGCGGAAAATGAAAAATAGCCACAACATGCCCCCCAAAAAAACATAAAATGCTAGAAACATCGCCCCCAGACTTTTGTGACTATGTTTGAGTGCTCTTCCTGTAGAGGGACATGCCCGACTTAAGGATGCCGTGGAAGCGAATGGTGCCACCATGCAGGGGGGGGGGGGGCAGGCAAATGAGGCGGCCGAGCGAGGGGGAGGGGGGGAAGCCGCTCGGGGGGACGGGTCACGCCCCGAGCGAGTGGCGCGGCCAGCTCAGCCGGCGGGGATTGCGTCGCACACTTACGTACAGTGGAGGCCCATGCCAAGAAACACCCTGCTCGCCTCCAGGGTGCCCTGGGTTTCTTGGTTGTCCAGGGTCTTGCCATGGAAAGCGCGACAAAATTTCACACCAAACATGAATGGACGTCCTGTGGGATCCCAGGGGTTGGGTCTCTCGTGGGCGATCTCTGGTGGTCGGGCCCCTCCCGTCTTCGACGAGGAGCCCGTGCTTGCCCGCCGGCCCTTGTCTCTTCTCCCAGAAGAATAGGAAACGCCACAGACACGCACTCGGCGCTCCGCGCGGATTTCTCGGATCCGCGCCGGACCCCCCGTCCCTGGCGCGCGGCGCGCGCCAGGGGCGGCCTCGGGGGCCCAGGCGCCAATCCAAGAAATCTGCCGGGAGCGCCGAAAGTTTCTGTTCCTGGCGCTTGTGATTATGCGAATTCTGGCGGTCTTAGGCGGTCTTCTGGCGGTCTTCGGCGGTCTTCGTCGGTGTCGGGTGGTCTTCAGCGCGGGAGCGGGCGGGTGGCAGTGAACGAGGGGCCCACGATCGAACACCGAGGATCGACAGACATTCCAGGATTCCTTCAGTTTGCACAAACTTCCGCGGTGCCCTCTCCCCCTCCTTGTCCTAATATTCTTCTTTATTTCCCCAAATTCCCATGGAAATCAGCGTTCATGCGCGTCTGTTCCTTCTGAGTCATCGGTGTCTTTGTCCTGGTCCTGGTCCTCGTCCTCGTCCAAGTCCTTGTTGTCGTCGTCTTTCTCTCGCTCCGCTTCGGATGCGGTCAAGCTGCGACCAACATGCCGGTCGTACCTCATCGGCAGGTCAAACCGTGACTTCTGCTCCCCCTGCTGTTCCGCCTCATGCTCCATCCTCCTTTTTCTCCTTCTCTTCCGCCCCCTCCCCCTCCTGATCTATTCCTTTTCCTTATGAATAACTTCTCCCTGTCGCACCCAGAAGCCAGTTTTTAGGGCGGGCCGGGCGTTTCGCCTGAGACTTCCTCACCATTTTGGGCTCTGAAGCTTTTAACATGGAAACAGCTTCATAGATGGAGGGCGGGTGGTTTTTCAAAATGTGGCTCTCGCCTTCGCGCCGCGCACATTCCTTTTACATATTGCAAGAGTTTCACGGATAGGGTCGTTTTCTCAAACTGTGGTTCTCGCTTTAGTGCCGCGCACATTCGTGTTAAACATTGCAAGAGCCTCACGGATTGAGGGCGGGTCGTTTTCAGACTGTGGCTCTCGCTCGAGCGCCGCGCACATTCGCTTCAAACATTTGCAAGAGCTTCACGGATGGAGGGCGGGTGGTTTTCAAAATGTGGCTCTCGCCTTAGCGCTTCGCACACTCGTGTTGAACATTTGCAAGAGCTTCACGGATTGAGGGCGGATCGTTTTCAAACTGTGGCTCTGGGTTTAACGCCGCGCAACATCCTTTCAAACATTTGCAAGAGCTTCACGGATGGAGGGCGGGTGGTTTTGAAAATGTGGTTCTCGCCTTAGCGCCTCGCGCACTCATGTGTTGAACATTTGCAAGAGCTTCACGGGCTGAGGGCGGATCATGGTTCTCGCCTTAACGCCGCGTGCATTCCTTGCAAAGAACTGCAAGATCTTCACGGCTTGAGGGAGGGTCGTTTCCAACATGTTGCTCTCGCCTTTGCGCCGCGCGCATTCGCTTACAAAAAACTGCAAGAATTTCACGGAGTGAGGGCGGGCCGTTTTCAAACAATAGCTCTCGCCTTAGCGCCGCGCACATTCGTTTCAAACACTTGTAAGAGCTTCACGGATGGAGGGCGGGTGGTGTTCAAAATGTGGCTCTCGCCTTAGCACCGCGCATATTCGATTTTTCAACATTGCAAGAGTTTGACGGATTCATGGCGGGTCGTTTTCAAACTGTGGTTCTCGCCTTCACGCCGCGTACATTCCTTTCAAAAAAAGTGCAAGAGCTTCACGGATTGAGGGAGGGTCGTTTTCAACATGTGGCGCTCGCCTTCGCGTCGCGCACATTTGTGTAACAAAACTGCAAGAGTTTCACTGATTGACGGCGGTTCTTTTCAACATGTGGCTCTCGCATTAGGGCAGCGCACATTGGTTAAACTAATTGCAAGAGGTTCACGGGTTCCCATGACCAACGTACCAGCAATGGTGTTTGGGGAAGATTCAGGATTATGCGGGTGCAACAATTTTGTTGGTTCGCGGTGTTGCTCAAAAGAAACCGTTCTGGCACGATTCCAAATCGTCAGGACGCAGCAGTCAGGTTGACCCGTGGCGTGGATATCCCGAGAGCAATGTTTTGGCATGTTTCAAGGTCTTCAAACGGGGTTCTTCGAACGAGGCAGTTCCCTCAATGGAAATCAACCTTTGTAGGGGCCTATTAAGAGGGAGCTTGGAGGGAGGGTCGATTCCAACATCGTTGAGGACTCTTGGGTTTACACTGGTTATCCTCGTCCTCCTCGTCCTCCTGCTCCACCTCCTCCTCCTCCTCCTTCTCCTCGTCCAGCTCTGCTATGTTGTCCACAGGACGGGTGGAGAGCAGCGAGGACGAGGGAAGAGGGATAGAGGGCCAAGGAGATATGAACAGGAACTGGAAAAGAGGACGACGGTGAGGGAGGAGTGGTGAAAGGGCTGTTGATGGGAGCGATGGGGGGCAGGGTGAGGCGGGTGAGGAGGATGCTACCCATCCTCCTCGTCCTCGTCATATCAATCCGCCTCTTCGTGTCCGTTCAGGCGGGAAGATGTATGAGGAAGTATGAAGGAATCGGTCCAGCTCCAAGGTTCTGGCGGGAGACAGAGAGAGAGAGAGAGACAGAGCGAGAGAGACGGAGAGAGAAAGAGAGAGAGGAAGAGAAAACAACAAGATGGCTCCGTCACTGCGCCGGCCCGCGAGGCTCTTATTCGGACCAAGGTACGGGCCGACAAAGTAAAGCGGGCGAAGGCAAAGGAAACCGAAGGAGCGGGGGAGCCGAGGGAGGAGAGAGGGGAAGGCAGAGGAGGGGGAACGACAGGGAAGGACAGACCAGGGCGACAAACGGAGGGACGGGGAGAGGGAAGCCACCGGGGGGAGGGGGAGAAGACACAAGACACACGGGCAAGGAAACGCAAGGGCAAGGGGGGGAAGGTGGAGCGGGAGAGGGAGGAGGAGGAGGAGCCAGAAGCCAGAGTCAAGGCAAGAAGAGGGAGCATACGGGGCCAGCGCACACACAGGAGGGGAAGGCCAAGGAGTTAGGCGGTTCTCCAGCAAACTGTCAGCAACTCATCATCAGCATCAGCATCATCATCAGAAGCACCATCATCGTCATCATCAGCATCATCATCAGGATCGTCATCCTCATCATCATAATCATCATCATCATCATCGTCATCATCATCGTCATCGTCATCGTCATCGTAATCATCATCATCATCATCATCATCATCATCATCATCATCATCATCATCATCATCATCATCAATATCATCCTCATCCTCATCGGCATCATCATCATTCTTAACATCATCCTCATCAGCAGCAGCATCATCATCATCACCATCGTCATCATCGCACAGATTCGCATCACCCTCATCCACATCCTCACCCTCATCATCATCATCATCATCATTCTCATCATCACCCTCGTCCACATCCTCATCCTCATCCTCATCATCCTCATCCTCATCCTCTTCTTCCTCTTTCCCCTCCGGAAAAATGGGGTCGACGCTTCGCCCCTTCGAGGACTGTTCTAGAACGGTTCAGCCGAGCCCTGACGTCATGAATCTAGCGGGGGGGTAACTCTTTGGCAGGAGCCGCGAAGCAGACCTCGCCCGCACATGCAAGCGCTCGGATCGTGCCGGTGCGTTGATGTCCGCGCTCTGGCGAGGTGAAGCCTGTCTCAGCTGATCGTCTGAAAGACATTGATCCGACAAGGGGTGGTGAAAGGGCACGAACACCACCTTCTGTCACACACACACACACACTCCATTTTGAAACGACCCCTGTTCATCCATCACCGCCTACTCTTACGCAGTGTGCTTCTCCGCTTTCTCTGACTCCTCCTGCTCTTGCCCCCTCTCACTCCTCCTGCTACACATCATCCTCATCATCCTCAAAGCCCCGTCTCATCCTGTCTCCCGTGTCCTGCATCCTCTCCTCCTCTTCCCCGCCCTCCCTCTGCACCGCCACCGCGGGCTTTTCCGCCAAGGTCGACTTCTTCGCGAGGATCTGCTCTGACAGGAAGGTGAACCTGCTGGTGGCGAAAACTAAACTCGATACTGGACTGGTACGTAGATTCCACGTCAGCGACGCCTGGAAATCATCGTATTCACTCTCGTCGTCGTCGTCGTCGTCAGGTGGTTCTGCCCATATTCCTCCGCATCCTCGTTTCATCATGCTGCTCTAAGGCAAATATCTGCTTTGACGGCGTAAACTCTGATCTCTTTCACATCGTGAGCCGTTCAACTTTGAGCGAGCTCCACCACCTGTACCTACCCGATTCCTCGCCGTCGTACCCTTCCGCACCGCCACCGTCGGATTGCTATCCTCCTCGTGTTCCTCCATGTCGTACCCTACGTCCGCTTCCATCCCCCTCCTCAGCTTCCCTCGCCCACAACGTCCGTGCCCTCATCAATCAATAATCCTCATCCTTTCTATCGTCTTCCACCTCCCAAATCACCACCTATTTCGAATAGTTAAACCTCCTCCCTCCGCATCCTTGGCGACCTACTCATCAGTGCCCTCCGTCCTACGCAACGACGTGTTGCCGTCCTTCTCGTTTCCATGCCCCCTCCTCCACTTCATTCACCCTTCATCCTGCATCCCACCTCCTCCTTCTCCTCCCTTCCGCGTCCTCCCCGGATCGGCCTCCAGCTCCTCCTTCTCCTCCTCCTCCTCCTCCTCCTCCTCCCCCGCCCACTCCTCCTCCTCCTCCTCCTCCTCCTCCTCCTCCTCTTCCTCCTCCTTCTTCTCGTCGTCCTCCTCCTCCTCCTCCTCCTCCGCCTCCTGCTCCTCCTCCACCTTCTCCTCCTCCTCCTCCTCCTCCTCCTCCTGCGCCTCCCTCCTGCTCCTCCGCCTCCCTCCTGCTTCTCCTCCTCCTCCGCCTCCTCCTCCTCCTCCGCCTCCTTCTATGTAAGCCAATGCCATTTCTCGCCTCCCCCCCTCCGCCTCCTTCCCGTCCCACCCCTCGACGCCTCTTCCTTCAGTTCCCCATCGATATCCTCCTCCCCCTCCTCCTCGAGCTCCCCGCCCCTATTCGCCTCACGCTCCCGCGGAGCCTCCCTGCTCCCTCCCGTGCAGTTTATGCGGCGCTTGTTGTTACAGGACCATATTTGTCAAATTAACCCGTATCATAAGGATGCGCGGTGAGGATGTAAGGGCCGTGGAAGGCCATGTCGACACCTTGCGAGCGGGGCGCGGCCAGCGAAATCGACCAAGGATGGGCCGAAGGGAAACGATGCAAGGGCACCTTTGGGAAGGATATCCATCCTTGCTACGCGGGTTGACTGTACGCGCATCCCTCACCTTGTCCTGATCCGCATGATATGTCCTCTGCTGCCACCGCGCTTCCCTGCACAGCTGCCCGACGCTGGTGGATGAACAGGACGGAGGGAACGCGGGAGCAGAGGCAGGACAAGGAGGATGAAGAAATCGGGGGGGGGGGGGGGAAGACAGAGCAGGAGAAGGTCGCGTCTCGTCAAGCGAAGCGTTGCGCGCACTGCTTGGGACGGGCATCAGGCCCGCCCGTCCACCGCCGTGCTCCGTGACCGCCGCGGCGGGAGTTCCCCGGCCAGCCGCGAGGGGCACGGCTTCCCCGTCCTGCTGGGTTTAAGTCGGGCCTGTTCTCCTACAGGGGGATTTTTGACGAAAAATAAGCAATAGTCAAACATACACAGAAATGACAAAACAAATGCTCAAAAACTTGTCCACATACTATTTTTTGACTATGTTTGGATTTTCCTCCTGTAGAGGGGCAGGCCCGCCTTGATGCTTAATGCTGGGTGGGGGGAACCACCGCTTCAGGAGGTCGAACCTCGGCCCTCGGCTGCAACATGGGAGGGGCCCCGGGGTCGAAAAAGGATGGGTTCCCCTCGCCCTCCGCCACTCCTTCCCCGCACGCTGCTCCGCGTCGGAGCACGCCCGAGGCGGCCTCGTGGGAGCTGCTCGGCGCGGCGGACCGCCGGCGCGGGGCGGGGACCCTGCCCCCTTTCCGCGGGCCTCGCAGGAGCCGCCGCCCATCCTCCTCCTGAACACCCCTCTTCTTCATCAGTTCGCCCGCCTCCTCCTCCGACTCATCATCATCAGCATCATCATCAGCATCATAAGCATCATCATCATCATCATCATCATCATCATCATCATCATCATCATCATCAGAACCATCATCATCATCATCATCATCATCATCATCATCATCATCAGCATCATCATTATGCTCATCCTCGTCCTCGTCCTCCTCTTGCTTTTCCTCCGTTTGTGCTCGTTCTCCGGTCTCCATCGCTACTACCCACTCCCCCTCATTCTTCGAATCCTCATGCAATCCCTCCTGGAAGCTCGAAGCTGCGGCATCCTGTGCCATCACGAATCTCGTCGCGCCCCTCCTCCTCCAATCCTCTCCCCACCAGAGCGAGAGCAGCAGCCCCACTAACAGCAGTGGCGTTGAAGGTCGGATGGGAATAGCCTCGGCCAAAAGAGGGTGGCGACCCCCCTTGGAAAGAAAGACCGACGGAGGGTCGACACGAGGAGGATCAGCAAGAGGATAAGAGAAATAGAGGTGAGGAGGAGCCGCCAGAGGGAAGCGGCAGGCACGACTGAGGAACGAGGGCGGGAACGGGTGGGGAGAGGGCCGCCAACGCAACCGAAGCACCACCAGAGCACCCCCAGGAGGACAGGCGAGAAAAGGGCTGTGCGAGGGCAAAGAAGGGAAAAGGGGAACACACAGGGTGCTCTCGGGGGGCGCCGGAGGCATCGGCGGCCCCACGGTCCGAGAGTCGGTCGCTGCTGTCCCCCCCCTCGGGTCCTCCCTCGCCATCCCCCCCCCCTAAGCCCGTCCCACGGGCCTGTGTCTGGCAGTGCGCCGGCAGCGGCGGCTGTGACGGGAGGTGAGCAGGTGGGCCTGCGCGGCTACGCGGGCGTGCAGCGCAGGTCTGAGTGGCTGGCCGGCTCCAGCTCGGTCGCACGTCTCTGGGCTTCGGCGGCTCACCCCAGTAACTGCCCCGATCTCCAAACCATGCGAACACAAAACATGGATGAAAAGGAACGCTGTCGTGGGTACAGCGGTGCTTCCTGGTGCGAGTCTTCCCGGGCTCAGCAGCGGAACCCATAGAGAGAGAAGGTCGGCACGGGTGAAGGGAGGGAGGCTGTTCGGGACAGCGCGCTGGCGTTGCAAGTCCCCCCTCCGCCCGCGCACCTCGTCGATAAGGGGGGCGGAGGATGGGAAGATTCGAAGAGTTTGCCCCTCCCGATGGGAGAGACGCCACCTCCCGTGGGTCCACCCGCCATGTGCGCACAGCGGCTGGCTGGTTTTGGTTCAGATGCCTGCGTGGGTGTGCAGTCTCGCTTCGACCGACGGGGTTCTTGTCCACGCGTCCTGGCCACACCAATGTGTCAAGGGTGTTCGAGCGCGGCGCAGGAAGACACGCTGGCTCACGATGCACTTTGCGCAAACCCGTCGGCTGCACGGACAATCCAAGATGGGGGTGCCCCGAGCTTTGCGGCGCTGGCATGTGTCGCACGTGCCTCGGTCTTGAACACGGGTGTAGCGGAGCGGATGCCCCCTGTAGCTGCACCTCCCCCTGTGGTTGCCATCTTTGCCCCTGGTACGATGTAAGAGCTTCTGCATGTCAGCCAGCGACGAGCCGTAGACCTCCAGGGATCTCTACTCCAGGTCATCGAGCGTCGGGTCAGCGGTAGCAGCGGCGCGCAGGCGGGCGCGCCTGCGGGCGTTTGACCGGTCTGACCCCTGCTGCTTCTGGCCTGCAGCCTGGTGGGCCCCAGGGTCGGTCTGCGGAGGCGTGGCGGCCTTCGGGTTGGCTTGAGCTGAGTCCATCCGAGGTGACTTGGGGGCGTTCTCGTCCTTGCTGATGATCTTCTGGTTCCTGTAGCGGCCCTCCTCGTCGTTGTAGCTCTGGGGGTGCCCGAAGGCGCTATTTTGGTCTCCGTAGGCGTACCTCTGGCCCTCGTTGGAGGACGTTTGGTCCTCATAGGGGGCCTGCTGGTCCTCGTAGGAGCGCGCATGGTCCTCGTTGCAGCGCTGCTGGCCCCAGTAGGAGCGCCGCTGGTCATCGTAAGGTCGCGGTCCTCCCTCGCAGGGGCGATTCTGGTTTCCATCGTAGCGCTGCTGGCCCTCATTAGAACGCCGCTGCTCCTCGTAGGGGCGTTGCTGGTCCTCGCAAAGAGCACGTCTGGTTCCCGTCGTAGCATGGCTTGACCTCCTAGGAGCGCTGCTGGTCCCCGTGGGGGCGCCGCTGGTCCTCGCAGGGGCGCTGCTGGTTCCCGCTGTAGCGCTGCTCGCCCCCGTAGGAGCGCCGCGGGTCCTGGTAGGGGCGCTGCGGGTCTCTGCAGGGGCACGTCTGGTTCCCGTTGTGGCGCAGCCCGGTCCCCGTCATAGCGCCGCTGGTCCTCGTGGCAGCGCTGCTGGTCCTCGTAAAAAGGCGCCGCTGGTCCTCGTAGGGGCGCTGCTGGTTGCTGCAGGAGCACATCTGGTTCCCGTTGTAGCGCAGCCTGGTCCCCGTCATAGCGCCGCTGGTCCTCATGGCGGCGCTGCTGGCCCTCGTACAAAAGGCGCCGCTGGCCCTGGAAAGAACGCATCGGGCTCCCGTTCTCCTGGTGGCCATGGCGGCCTGAGGCGCAGCCCTGGTAGCCACACCCGCCGTGCTCGTCGAACTCCTCGTAGCCGTAGTCCTGGCATCCGGCGTTTTTGACATACTCGTCGCACTCGTTCCCAAAGGTGGGCTGGAAGACGTCAATGGTGAGACTGGGGATGAATTCGTTATGGCGCTTCTGTGCTCATGCTCGGTACACAGGCCGCCGCGCACGTTGTCTGAGCAGGGCTCGCGTTGGCAAGTGTTGCGGGCGAGGACGGTGATCACATCGATGGACACTGTAAAGTGCCCATGTCTCGCGGCATATGCAAGCCGGCACATGGCAGCGCGCTCGTGCCGCCGATCACCCTGCTGCTGTTATCGATCGCGTGCGCGTGTCAGATTCGGGTCGACGCCGGTGTCCTCGCAGCCCCGGTGTCTCATGGTGTTGGTCTTCTGGGTGCGGTGCCTGGCGACGGGGGGCTTGATCGCAGGCGCCGAGTCATCCACGGCCCGGGCCGCGCAGGGGCGCCGCCCGTTCGCCCTGTGCGGCGGGGGCGGGCTCGGGCGCACGCGCCTCCTATACTTCCTCCTCCTCCTCCTCCTCCTCCTCCTCCTCCTCCTCCCTGCTTCTTGCTCCTCTTCCCCCCCCCCCGTCCATCCCTCCATCCCTCTCTCCCTTCCGTCCTCCCGACCCCTCTGGTGAAGATCCTGGTGCCTCCCCCGCGCTGCCCCTGCCTCCCTCCCTCGGCCCCTCCCTCGCCCCTCCCCGCGGGCGGCACGGGTCTTCCGGCTTGTGGCGGATGACCTCGCGCATGGCGTCCGCCAGGACGTCCTGGAAGGGCAGTTTGCTTCTGAAGCCTAAGAGGCTCTGGGCAGATATGAACCTGCCCAGACGCCCCCACCACCACCACCACCACGACAACCCCCCCCACAAGAAGCGTACACGTGTTCATCGAGACGTGGGCGCGAGCTGGCAACCAGGGCCAACGAGTCATCCCGAACGCCCTCCCGTGGAATCGTTGCGCAGACGGCTCCAGGATGAGTGCCCCTTCGCTTGCCTGGCCTGCACACACGCGGATAGAATCTGGAAGAATTAGCACGTCCAGCAATTATGACAACAAGGAATTTCCCCAAATTCCACGGATTGTGTCCCGCCGCTTCGAGCTACCGGTGAATCGAGCAACGTTATCCTTCCTCATCGTCCTCCCTCCTCTTCGTCCTGGTTGCCGTCCATCTTATCATCTCCCATTTCCTCTTCATAGTAAGGAAGTCGCTGGGGATAAATATAAACCCCCGCCCCCGTTGATTCGTATACCACCTGAACTGACCAAGGGTCTGTCGACACTGCGCCAAATTGATCCTGACTCGCTCTGAAATCATCAATCCAACGACCAGGCAACACGCGTTCGTCACGAACGTACGCGAATGCAAAAAACGTGCCCGGATGGAGCGACCTGGCAGAATGAGAATTCAACTCGCCGCCAGTGTCCCGACCCCCGGGTCAGTGACCATAGATCACTCGACTAGTACATGGATTAATCTGGTTATCCATCCCTGGGGGGGGGGCACTCCGCTCGTCCTCCCTTTCCTCCTCCCCCTCCCTATCCCACTTTCTCTCTCCATCTCTCTCACTCGTCTCGAAGCGGGAAACTGGAAAGATGAACGGCTGGATGCACATGCGGGACATGGAAGGGCCCTTAGTGGAAACGCGTGCGATTGGACGGCGTGTTTGGCCATGCGAAGGCCGAGCGCTTGAAGGACATGCGACCACATGTGTAGGCAGCGCTTGCTTAGGCGAGCCTCATCAAATGCAGGCACCCAGCTGCCTGGAGAGGCTCAGGTGGCCGCGCGCACGCTGACTACTTGGCACGTTGGAGCCAGCGGCTTTGAGGCCTCACTCGAGGCTGATAACAACGACGAAGAAGTTGATGAGGACGATAAGGCCGAGGATGGGAACAAGGAGGAGGACGAGAAGGAGCAGAAGGATGATAAGGACTGGGCCTCTGCGACCACCATGCGCGCAACACAACCCAATGCGGTGACGAGACCGTAACTGCAGGGAAGACAGGGAAGGCTCGAACTACGTCCTGGACACCCTGCCTTCAGGATCCGCCACCGTGCCGCGAGGCACGAGCTGCGCTGCCCTCGGGCCCTGTGAGATCCTGAGCGACTGACAACTCAGGTTGGCGGCGAGCGAGGAGGGGAAGTGAGAAGGAGAAGGCCTTCTCAGGAGGCTCGGAAGTCCCCCGGCCTTCTCCCGAAGATACGAAGAACCTTTCAGAAGGCACGAGGGCTTCTGAGAAGTCCGGCCGCGTTCTGAGAAGGCCTTTTCCTTCTCACTTCCCCCCCCTCGCTCGCCGCTGATACGTAGCCTGGGCTCCAAAGTGTCGGAAGTACCGCAATTTCTCGCATCTGCTCAGGGGGCCTTCATGCGGGCCAGAGAAAGCTCGAAGACAGGCCCAGAGGTGCCCAGGAGGTCACCAAGACGATCCAAGAGGTGCCCGAGACAGCCCAAGAGCGCTCCAGGGCGCCCAGGATGACGTTAAGACGGCCCTGTTCGAGGCCTCCAAGACGCTCGAAAGGGCTCCTACTTCCCACGGTGCCTGAAGTATTTTCGCGTTCTCGCATGTTCGGGCTTCCACCGCTCAAGGATGGCCCAAGGGGCCCGCACGGCTGCCACAATAAGGCCCAAGAGCCACGAGGGCCCCAGGACGGCCCAGGAGGACCTCCAGACGGCCCCCAAGGTAAGTTCAAGAGCCCCCCGAGACGGTTCCAACCCGAATTGTCAATTCAAGCCTTTCCCCTGAAGATGACTCTCAAAGACCGCCGAAAGCCCCGAAGAGGCCCTCGAGAGGCCCCGAAAAGGCCCCCAGAGGCGCCCACGACGCCCGCCAGAGGCTCCGGGAAGCCTCAAAGAGGCCCCGAGATGCAAGAAAATGCGTCCGACAGGCCCCGGAAAGGCCTCGAAGAAAACCCCAAGATGCCGCCCGAAGAGGCCCCGGAGAGGGCATCCTAAGATACCATGGTATGCGACCATCCAAGGGGCATCTGATCCCCAATAGTGTGGCGGACGGGCCGACTGAACAGTAGCATGCGGCACACACACACGCGCACACACACACGTTGATCTAGCAAGCGCGCTTTGTATGAACCCCAATCGGATAGTAAAATCTCGGCCGCATGCGCGCGCCGCCACGCGCGCTCGTCAAAATCCTGCCACAACCAGTGGCTCTCCAAACATTTCAAGAGATAGCTCTTCAGACACATGCAGCCAAAATCGATACCAAGGACGGACGGTAAGGACGTAAGGGCCTTGGACGTCGGAAGTTGACACTTTTAGGCGGCGAACTGCCAACATTCTGAAGGGCTGGCCAGTGAAAACCGCGAAGGACGGGCCGCAGAGGCAGGGACGCAAGGATACCCTGAGGACATTCGTGCGTCCTTACTATGAGCTTTGACTGTAGGGAGCCAAGAAGCACTGCCCCTGCAAAGTGCTGCCAGAATTCTGCGCGCGCGCGCTCGCCGAAGCGCTGCGAACACTGCGCGCGTCAGGCCACTCCGTCGGACGAGAGGCCCTGCGGCGGGCCACACGGGCGCGCGCAGGTCGAGACCAATTTCAGCAATCCTCGCGCGCAACCGCCAACGCCGTCCTAGAGCACCGTGCGGACCGCACGCGCGCGCGACTCCGCACGTCGAGAGCCTTTCTGACCCATCTGCGGTTCTTGGCGGCGCGCAAGAGGGGGATAGGGGGAGGGGGGGAGGCTTCTCAGAAGCACCCTGCTTGTTAGAAGGCCCTGGCCTAACAACTATAGATACGGCCAGCGCCTTCTAAGAAGCAGGGGTGCTTCTAAGCAGCCTTCCCCCCTCCCCCTACCCCCTCCGCGCGTGACCGAATGTAAGCGTTTCAATACAAGGGCATTCAATCATACATGGTGAGGCAATTGCTATCCATACGAATGTTGTCAGAATGTCTGAATATGTGCGCGCGCGTACTTCCTCACCATCCTCGTCACCGCCATCGTTACCATCATCACCAGCGATACCATTGCCACCGACCGACCTCGCTATCATATTCATTCGCCACCGTCGTCGTCATCCCCACCGTCGTCATCAACATCAACATCGTCATGGAAATCGTCGTTGCCGTCGCCTTCAGCACCATCATTATGATCATCGCCATCGTCATCATTGTTATCATCATCGTCGCCATTATCTCAATTATCATCACCATCGCCATCACCATCACCATCGCCGTCATCGATCCCACCGTCGCCATCATCATGATCATCAGGATCGCCATCATAATCATTATCGGCATCGTGATCGTCGTTGTCGTTGCCCTCGGCGTCAACCCTACCATTATCATGATCATCATCAACACCCGTTTGCCCGAGAAATGGGTCTTCATGGTACGGGTCCTCGCGTCATTACGTCAAGTGAATTTTGCCAACCAGTTGCTGGTGGGCCGGTGGGATACTTGCACGAGCATTGGAGGTGATCACGCGCGGATGCCAGCAAGGTGAATTGCGTCCCAGAGATTGGGCCGCATATAATCAAGACACTGCACAGAGGAGCGCTAAACAATGAACAACCCACTGTTTGGCCCCCAGAGCGCCTGGATGCATGAGAAATGCTAGGGGAACAGCCTTGGAAGGACCTAAGAAACAGCGAGCCCCTTCCGAATCCGAGCAAATCCTTATTTCAGCGTCCTGGCTGCAGAGCTCACATCGAGTGCAAGAATCCACGGCTTGGGGTCCAAACAGAAAAAACATTCAGCATGTAGCAACTTCTACGCAGCCACTGTTGCCAGCGCCGCCAATTGCGGGCCGACTTATCCGCTGTGGTTGCACCCCGAACAGAAAAGCAGAAAGACAAAAGCAACGCGGCTCGTGGCAACGCAACGCAACTCCCGATCGGCCCGAAGGCCGTGCCAATCTAGAACTCGGGGGGGAACTTGGCCCGTGCCTCTGGCACCCGGGCAAATGTGCGAACGTCTAACGAGGATTGGTTCACGGGCAGGCAGGGGCGGGTAGCGGGGGAGGAGAGGGCGGAGGGAAAAGTGCAAAATGGAAGAAAACTCTCAGATCTCGCTCACGGGGACCTTCACGAGGAACTCCGCGCTGACAGGCACAGATTCAGTCGGTCCACCTCTGAAGCGGTCGGCCTCTATGTCGCGCTCGACTAGGCCGCCAAGCATACGGCAGAGAACACTATTGCGACAGATATCCGTGTTCGATTGGTTGGACCAGCAAATCTCTCTGATGGTTGCGCCGGATGCTCCATTCTGTGACTGGCTATTGCGCTAAGGCCGCGTCCAGCCGGCGCTTCATGCGATGGCCAGTAAGCTGCCATGGTTCCTCCTCCAAACGTACCCACCCAACAATGCGCCTCAACATTTTCCCCTGGAGCGCGTCCAGCTTGTCGAGGTCTTTTTGAGTGAGTGGCGTAGAGGTCAGACTGTAGAGGACAGACGGCGTCACCACGGAGCCGAACAGACGCAGGCGTAATTTGATCGGAATGTTGCGGTTCTGCAGCGTGTCTGAAAACTGGTGGTACTTAAGCCAAACGCACTTCATGCGGTGCTCCAGGTTGCACTTACCTCGCATCCTCAAATCGCCGCTCAGCAGCCGGCCAAGGTACTTGTGCGTGCCCGCGTGCTTGACAACCTCAACCATCCCGCCGCCGGCGTCGAGGAAGAGCGGGACCTCGTCTGCTGCAACGTTCGCATCTGTTGTCAAAATCTTCGTCTTCCGCGCGTTGACGGACAGACCAGCTCTGCTCAGTTCCTCCACGAGGCAATCGAACATGAACACTGCATCCTCATGCGACCGAGCAAATAGAAGTATATCGTCTGCATATCTGATGTTAGTCAAACGATCGCTCTGCGGGCTGAGCAGGAGACCGCAATTGCCAAGCCGAGCCTGCCACCGGCACATGACCGCTTCCAGCGCAGCGTTGAAGAGCATTGGACTAATCACGTCACACTGTCTGACCCCGCGTTCTATGTCGAACTGGCAGCTGTCCACAAGTCCGCGTTGAGCTGTGTACAAGCATTGGAGCAGCGTGCGGTACTCGACAGGGACCCCTTGCTCTGACAGGGCAGCGAATAGTGCACGGTGTTCAATGGCGGCCATTTGGCTCAAGCGGCTCGTGGGGAGGCGATCAACACGGCTGCCCGACAAGGCGCCGGGCCGAGATCAGCGGCGAAGGGCGACTGTGCGGGACAGGCATCAGATTGCACAGACAGCAACAGGGCAGCGCTGGGTAGCAGGAATAGCGCTCAATGACGGGCAGGGATGTGCAGTGAGGGAACGGCGAACTTCCAACTACAGTGCTATTCGTCTGCCGATGCTTGACCTGGGAGCACCAACGAGCTAGTGCGAATCGAAGGGCGTGCAGACACTTGGAGTGACTCTCGTCGGGAGTCTCCCGGTCTCACGGAGCGACGTTTACCCACCCACCCCCACCCTGGCATCAATGGTCAACATGTCAACGCCACCTGCTTCGGTCTGGCCCCGTTCTGCCCATCCTCTTTTTCCGCCAATCTGCGCCCTCAAACTCCTATCTGTGTGTGCTCCTACTGCTCCTGCTCATCCTTCTGTGCAATACTTCCATGCTCATATTCCCCTCCACATCCTCGTCCGCGTCGTCGTCGTCGTCCTCCTCCTCCTCCTCCTCTTTGTCATCGTATGGTCCTCCAGACTGTGCTCTGCTATGTACTTCTGGGCTGCGTCCCACTTGACCTTGCCCCTGGCGGAGCCCTGCTGTGCCTTGGCCTCCTCCGCGTGCGCCGCGGGCGAGAGCAGTGGACGGGAGGGCAGAGGAAGACGAGGCGAATGCGACGGGGAAAGGCGGCGGACCAAGAACAAGAGAGAGGGAGAGAGGAGAATGGACATCAAGCAAGAGAGAACGAGAAATGGTGAGCACACAGGTATGCACGTGTAAAGCATATATGCCTAAATATCTTAGCCAGTGTACGCCAAGCAGTAACGTATTGCACTCTGGAGGTGGGATCGATCCAATGTGAGTCAGTGACGTTCGATATGTCGTGTAAGCTGTGTGGTGTGAGCTGGAGGTGGCAGCTACTCCGTGCAGTATCTATATACACATGGTGCAAGCTACGTCGAGTAATATATCTGTGTCGTGATCTCAAGGTGGAAGTCATGCGGTGTAAGATATATGATATAATCCATATTGTGTACGCCATGCTGTGCAAGCTACCTGGAGTAGGCGGAGTACCTTGAAGTAGGGGGAGTGGGGAAGGCCTCTTAGAGGGGGCCTGCTTCTTGGAAGGCGCTGGTGCCCTATATCATGTTATCTGCAGGCAAAGCCCGCGCCTTCTGAGAAGCAGGGGTGCTTCTGAGAAGCCTTCCTCCCCTCCCCCTGCCCCCCCTGCGCGCGAGGCCGATGTCCCGTAACGCCAGAGGTGTCGACCCCAGTCGGGGGGCGGGCTCTCCGTCACGCATCGCCTCCGACAGCCCCGAGGCCCAGGGATGGGCCCCGAGAGTTAGGTCGGGCAGGTCCCCCTACAGGCAGACGTTGGAGGAAAACATAGAAATAGTCAGAACATATTCGCAAATTCCAACATGTTGTGTATATATATATATATATATCGTCCCCAGACAATGTTTTGACTATTTTTGACGACTTAACCCCAGAGGCCAAAAAGAGCAAAAAAGGAATCCGCCACGATCTTGTCACGACGCGAGGGGGTCTTGGGGAGGGCAGCGAGGTGGGCGAGGAGGAGGAGGAGGCGCAGCCAACCGGCCTCCCAGCGCGGACCTAGCTCGTGCCTCGGCGCGGCCGCGCGTCCGCGGTGGGGGCTGGCTCCTTGATGGCGTCGGTCGGCTCGCCCTTGACCTGGCGACCCCCTCGCCCCGAACAGCAGCAGAACACCAAACAGCTGCACCCTCACAAACGTTCTTCGTATTTCTCGGGTCGGCACTGACCCCCCCACTCGCCCCTCGCGCGCGCGAAGCGAGCCAGGGACAGCGCCGGAGGGGGGCCGCCAAGGGAAGAGCCCGGCGCCGGCCGAGAAGAATCCGCGCGTACTACCTCCGAAAGTGCTTGCTTTCTGTGGTTGTTTGTGCGCCGGGCCCGCCCAGGAGCCGGGAGGAGCAGGGGCAGGACACGAGGACGGCGGGAGGAGGGCGCGGACGAGGACGACTCGGCAGGCCAGGAACCCGCTGAGGGGAGAGCCCCACTCGTGCCGATGAGGATCATCCTTCCCAGACCCCCGACGCCAGGATTCGTGAGAACATCAACCCCCAAAGGTCCTGGCCCCGCGGCCGCGCGCCCGTGTCCTCCGCCCGCAGGAGGCTCCTGCGAGGCTTCCGAGGGGGCTCCTGAGAGGCTCCCGAGACGCTCCTGGGAGTCTACAGGCTTCCGAGAAGCTCCGGAGGGACTCCTGAGAGGCCACTCGAGAGGCTCCTGAGGGCTCTTGAAACGCTTCTGAGAGCATCCTGAGAGGTTCCTGGCAGGCTCCACAAAAGCTCATGAGAATCTTCTGGCAAGCTCCTGAAAAGCTTCTGGGAAGCTCCTGAAAAGCTCCGGAGAAGCCCTGAAACGGCTTTTGACAAGCTCCTGGGAAGCTCCTGAGAGGTTCCGAGAGGCCCCTCAGAAGCTCCAGAGGGCGGGGAGCAGGAGGAGGGGGAGGGCGGGGAGGAGGAGGAGGCGGAGCGGGGGCAGGGCTCAAGCAGACCCACAGCACCCCCCAAGAGGAAGACAATGCGCCGGCACCCGTCGGCCCCAATGCCCAGGTCAGGGCGCGCGTGCGATAACGCCCTTCCTGGGCACCACAGGCGACAACATGAAAGACATGCAAGCATATTTCGTCGGGGCCGTGACTTTGCTTCCTGGTGCGCGCGGGACCTGATGCTTCTCCTGAAGCATATCCACGTCGTGCAGTCGAAGACCTGGCGGGACTCCACCTCGCCATCATCATGCATGCCGAGAGGGGGAGGAGCAGGAGGAAAGAGAACCAGCAAGGGGAGGAAGGGGGGGAGAGAAGAGGGCGTGGCCAATGCCACCGAGCTTCGGGCTCCGGGGACGGGGCCGCCGCCCGCAGAGCCGGGAGACTTTGTCCCAAGCGCCTCTGGTGGTCTCGGCTGCACCCGCGATCCGGCAGAGCCCGCCCCCAAAAGGGGGAAAAACACCCAGAAGCCTCGATCCTCGAAGAGGCTCGGGGACGCACACTGCGGTCCTTTGATCGAGGCTTTTCTGGGGGCTCCTGCCAGTGCAGTGGTGCTTGCCCTCCCCACGCACCCCCCCCCACCCGCCCAGCCAATAACCCGGCTCTAGAAAAACAGATAAGGCCCCTGGGGCCGAGGGCCACCAGCCCCCAGTCGGCTGTTGCACGGTCCGCTCTCACGACCGGAGGACGGCTCAGATGGTCTCGGAAGACTGTGAGTTCTGCATGGTGGCAGGCGTGCTGTCCATGGCGTAGGCCTTGCTCGGGGAGTGTTTCCTAGCGTCCACCCCGACGTCCTCTGTCTCCGAGTCGATGCGCAAGCAACCGGTCATCTTGAGCGCGAAGAAGACGATGCCTGAGAGGATCCCAGACCAGGCAATTATGACGCCGATCATGATGAGGTGCGCCAGCAGGGCGTCGACAAACAAGCCCTCCACGCAAACGTTCTCCTCGTTGGTCATGCAGCCGAAGCCGCTCCAGCCGTGGAAGTGGTCATTGCCCCCCAGCGTTCCCATGTCGAAGAAGACCGCGGCGAGCACGCCCCAGATGCCGCAGGCGCCGTGGACTGGGACCGCGTCCACGGGGTCGTCGATCTTGAGCTTGCGGAGCAGCATGGACGCGAGCTGGTACAGGATGGCGCCGATCAGCCCGATCACCACCGCGGAGCCCGCCTCCACGTTGCCGCAGGGCGCGGTGATCGACACGAGGCCCGCCAGGATGCCGTTGCACAGGCCGCCCACGTCGTAGTACTTGTAGATGGCGAAGCGAAGGAAGAAGACCACGATGCCTCCAGTCGCCGCGGCAAGGGTGGTGTTCATGGCCACGTGGGCGGCCAGCAGGCCCGCATCCTGGTCCATTCCGAGGGTGGAGCCGCAGTTGAAGCCGTACCAGCCAAACCACAGGATGAAAGTGCCCAACACGACGAGGGGCAAATTGTGCGGATCAAACGCTTCCGGATTCTCCCACCGGCCCTTGCGCGGACCCAGCACAATGGTGCCCGCGAGCCCGCTGATGCCCCCAGTCAGGTGGACGATGCCGCTGCCCGCGAAGTCAATGACGCCCACATCAAACAAGGCCATGATCCACCCGTAGCCCCAAGTCCACGCGACGACCACAGGATATATGAACCCAGTCATGATGAGGACGTAGAACCCGTATGTGGAGCTGAGCACCCGCTCGGCGACTGCGCCACTGACAATGGTGGCGCCGACGGTGCAGAAGGCCCACTGGAAGAACCAGGACAGCGGTGTGCCAGTAGAGTAATTGTTCCCATCGGAATCCTCGACGAGGTAGTCGTGGGCGAAAAAGCCGTTCAAGCCGATGAAGCCGTTCCCTCCTGCGTCCTCCTCGGGCACATTATCTCCCAAGCCATAGGCGAACCCGTACCCTACGGCCCACCACCCGATCGTGCCCAGGCAGACGTTCACGAGGTTCTTCATCAACACGTTCGACGCGTTCTTGGCCCTGCAGCAGCCCGTCTCCAGCATCGTGAAGCCCGCGTGCATGAACATCACCAGCGCCCCACACAGGATCAGCCAGGAGCTGGTCATCGCGCTGACCGTGGCATCCGACGACAAGCGCCTGTCCTCCGCCGCGGCAGCCAGGCGCCTGCCCGCCTCCGCCGCGCGCGCCTCCTCCATCGAACGGCTGCTCTCCAGCTCCGCGTGCAGCTCCGCCGCGTGCGCCTCCTCTGCTCGCTGCCTGCTTTCCAGCCCCGCGCGCAGCTCCGCGCGCAGCTCCGCGATCTCCGCGCGGAGGGCCGCAGTGGTGCCTCTGGCCTCCGGGGCGGCGGCCGCGCCTGTCGCCAGCGAAAGCGTGAGCAGGCATTTCAGCATCACCATCGCTCGGAGGGCGCCTAAAGGCAGAGCTTTCCGAGGCAGTGAAGGCGCCAGGAAGTTATTGATTGAGTTTCCCCTGGGTCGAAACAGCCTGAGCCAAGTTGAGCCACAATGGCTACGGAGGGGTCCTACTTCTCCTAACTATTCCTCCTCCTCTTCCTTCTCCTCTTCCTCCTCTCCCTCCTCCTCCTCCTCCTCCTCCTCCTCCTCCTCCTCCTCCTCCTCCTCCTCTTCCTCTCCCTCCTCCTCTCCCCTCCTCTCCTCCTCCTCCTCCTCCTCCTCCTCCTCCTCCTCCTCCTCCTCCTCCTCCTCCTCCTCCTCCTCCCTCAGGCCTCCCTCCGCCATCCTCGTTCGCCCGTGAGGAGTCCTGCCTCTCCTCGCCCCTACTTCCTCCCTCCGCGCTACCCCTCCTCGTACATCCCTCCTCACCCCCCCCACCCTTCGATCGGGGCCGCACAAAACCCAATTGCGCACCAGTGCGCCAGAGGGGGGCGCGGCGTCAGTGCCCGACTGGGAAGGGGGGGGAGGGTGCTCCGCCCCCGGGGCCTCCGTGACACCTCGGCCGGGCCTGCACCCCTCGGCGTGGCTCGACCCCGCGAAGGATCTTCTGGCAAGCTCCTGAAAAGCTTCTGGCAAGCTCCTGAAAAGCTCCAGAGAAGCCCTGGAACGGCATTTGACAAGCTCCTGGAAAGCTCCTGAGAGGTCCCCGAGAGGCTCCTCAGAAGCTCCAGAGAAGTCCTGAAAAAAAAGGCTCCTGCGAGGCTCCTGCGAGGCCCTTGAAAAGGCCCCCGAGTTGCTCCTGAGAGGTCCCCAGCGGGCGGGCGGATCTCGAGAGCAGGGGCCGCGCGGGCTCCGGCGCCGCCGCGCACTCGCGCCGCGCCCACCTCGTGAGTTGCACCTCTGAGGGGTGTCCATTTGCAGCGTTCGGCGGGGAAGGAGGGGGAGGGCGGGGAGCAGGAGGAGGAGAAGGAGGAGGAGGAGGAGGAGGAGGAGGAGGAGGAGGAGGAGCAGGAGCGGGAGGAGCGGGGGCAGGGCTCAAGCAGACCCACGGTGACCCCCAAGAACCCAAGAGGAAGACAATGCGCCGGCACCCGTCGGCCCCAATGCCCAGGTCAGGGCGCGCGTGCGATAACGCTCTTCCTGGGCACCACAGGCGACAACATGAAAGACATGCAAGCATATTTCGTCGGGGCCGTGACTTTGCGTCCTGGTGCGCGCGGGACCTGATGCTTCTCCTAAAGCATATCCGCGTCGTGCAGTCGAAGACCTGGCGGGACTCCACCTCGCCATCATCATGCATGCCGAGAGGGGGAGGAGCAGGAGGAAAGAGAACCAGCAAGGGGAGGAAGGGAGGGAGAGAAGAGGGCGTGGCCATGCCACCGAGCTTCGGGCTCCGAGGACGGGGCCGCCGCCCGCAGAGCCGGGAGACTTTGTCCCAAGCGCCTCTGGTGGTCTCGGCTGTACCCGCGATCCGGCAGAGCCCGCCCCCAAAAGGGGGGAAAACACCCAGAAGCCTCGATCCTCGAAGAGGCTCGGGGACGCACACTGCGGTCCTTTGATCGAGGCTTTTCTGGGGGCTCCTGTCAGTGCAGTGGTGCTTGCCCTCCCCACGCACCCCCCCCCACCCGCCCAGCCAAATAACCCGGCTCTAGAAAAACAGATAAGGCCCCTGGGGCCGAGGGCCACCAGCCCCCAGTCGGCTGTTGCACGGTCCGCTCTCACGACCGGAGGACGGCTCAGATGGTCTCGGAAGACTGTGAGTTCTGCATGGTGGCAGGCGTGCTGTCCATGGCGTAGGCCTTGCTCGGGGAGTGTTTCCTAGCGTCCACCCC